GATTCGTGCTAACAAGAAAGAAAAAAAATCTTATCTACATCCTAAAACACATGATGCCCTAGAATGAAGATCTACATGTATGGTAACTACATACCTATAGAATATATCTTTAAACAGTGAAAAATCAAAAGCGGTCTTAGAAACGTGTTTCAGTCCTCTGGTCTCATATTAGTCATCCAGTATCAGCAATAGCTCACTTGGCGATCGGGTTCCTATGGAAGTCCTCTACGCGAGGAAGCGCGATGGTAGATCACTTCTGTTGCGAAGAGGAGGCCTCCGATGCCAATGCCTGAGGGACGTGGGTGAGGTTAGTTCCAATTTCCAGAGCGTGTGTGTATATATATAGATATAAATAAATATACATATATACATATATGTGCGTTGTGTGTGTGCATGTGTGTATGTGTATGAATATGTATGTATATGTACATACACAACATAACCACAACACGGATAATGCATATATATACTTGTGCATAGATGGTCTTTTTATGGATGGGAACGGGAACTAATCGTCCGGCCTGCGTTCTGGCCGCCGCCAGCCAGGAGTAGAATTTGCGGGGGAACGCCCTAGAGAACCCTGTGGGTGGATAATGGGTTCCGCAGTTTAGTTCAGTTCAATTAGATTTGACGTCTAACTTCGCCCGAGCCTTTTCTCGAGAGTGGCCCAGCCTGTGTCATTTTCACCACCCCGGCGGCTGTGGTGGGTGGTCCCTGTCTCAGAAATTGCGTGTGTTCACAATTCAGGGTGGCGTTCAGCTCGCCGAAATACTTGCATTACCTGACAACCACGTCATCAAGAACTTGTCAAGCGCATGGGTAATCTAGTCTTAATCTGTGTAGTATGACTTCGGTACCTCTTTTTTATATTTGGAGGAAGGGCAAGTACCTCATAGCCTGTGGCATCTGAGTACCACTTGGCTGAGAGCGAATCTGCGGTATTTTCTCTGTACATGCTCCGGAGAAGTACGTGCTCTTGCTTTGGAACTTTGGCTCAGTCTCCTTTGGCTTGGGTTAACGATCATGGGAGTTGGGGCATGCCCCTGCCTACCCTTTTTGGCTAGTCTGTCAGTAAGCTCATTCCCTTGGATGCCTATGTGGCTTGGGACCCAATTTATGATTATTCTTCTACCCTGATCGAGGATTCCTTGGGTAGATGTTGCCTTGGGGCATGCTATGCTGCAGACTGTCAATGGATACTCTAGAGTCTGTGTATATAATCGCGTGTCCATCCCTTAGGGACCCGTGGGTCAGGGCCCCTATGATTGCAACCGTTTCAGCTTGGAGCGATGAGGCATTGTCAGTAACTCTAATGGAAGTTGTGGCATCCTTTGCTGCAAAACTGGCGCCTGCAGTATGGCTTATGGGATCCACTGATCCATCCGTGTAGTAGGTTCTACTACCCGGAGGAGTTATTTGAGCAATGACCCTTTGTACTTGTGCCTTTAGGCTGGGCATAGAGTATTGATATTTTCTCCTTGACAGGCTCATAACAGAACTCGATCAAGTTGTTTGCCCACGGCGGGGGTTCTCTAAAGTCTGGGTGAGGGGAGTCCATGTCCTTGGCATGCCGTGGTTCATTGAGCTGGGAGCGTATCAATACTCTGGCCGTGTGTGTGAGCCAGGAGTTGTCCGTAAACAGTTATCTTGCTGTAGGCATCTGAGTACTCTTAGTCTTGTGTATGAATTTCGGGTTGCCTGCAAGACCTTGGAGAGGAACTGGGCTGCCATTAAATCAATTCGGATATCCAAGGATAGCAAGTCTGTCTCCATGAGGAGGTTAATGACCTTTGTCCACTTAGGTGCACCCAGAATGATCCTGGATGCTTCATTTTGTAATGTTTCCAGTTTTTCTTTTAATGTGCTGGAAGCAATTAGGGCAACAGAAGCATAGTCAACAATAGGCCG